TTCTTGAGGAAGAATGCAGACCTCTCTACACAAATCACAAAGAGATACGGTCCGCAATTGTTTCGCTTAAAACTTCTTGATTTTTAACAATACTACTTTCCCTCATAGTTTGTTTAAAATCAAAGTTTACAGAGAAACAATATGTCAAGAGCGTACAGGATGCCGCAGAAATTCGACACTGCTCAAACCACGAATTTTCAGCGAACGTTTGAGTATGTCGATATTTTTTTTTGACAAACAAACTGAATACAAGAGAACTCTGATTCGTTCAATGATTTAAATTTTTTATGCTTTTAACAAAATCGGCTTCTTGGGATAAGTTCTATTTCTCGTAACCAATCCAGAAAGATTTTTCTGCTCTGTAAAATGTTACCCAAAATGAACAAATTATATTTTTTATCCATTTTACAAAAAGAGGAACGGAAACTACTTTAGATAGTTAAACAGAAAATGTCTTTGGAAATGTTTAAATATTTTTAGCAATATCGTCGTTATTAAATAGACTTAGCTGTGAGAGAATCAAAGAATGAGAGAAAAGTGCATATGAAGTTAAAACTTCCCATCAACAGATTGTACAACTGAGAACAGATTCGGCACAAGGAGAAAAGTGCAAACGATGTTTCAAAATGAACTACGTTCGTTTATAGTAGAAGGCTCATGGATCCTCGAAATGATTCAGACAGGAAACCTTTCTAAACTAACGGTTGGAAATCTGTCCTGACAACAAAAGAGATAAAAACACGTTAACTTAACTAATAAAAAACATGTAGTTGTTAGGACAGAAATACATACCGATTGTTGGAAGGTTACATTGACTAAGACCAGTGTGGCTATGTTCACAAAACTGTGAATCATTCCGACGAATTCGTGGGCTCCACTACTGGAGCTCACACTCAAAATGTGGAATCTTCTTGGAGATGGATACGAAGATGTCTTTCCAAAGGAGGCGTTTGCAAGAGCAACCTGGCAGATCATCTCTGTAAATTTTTGTGGCGTCGAAGGGTTTTTAAATTGAATATGAACCCTTTCTTGCAATTAATCGCAGATATTGAAATATGATACCCTGGTCACAAAAATTAAAGGAGTCTAAATAGCAATTGGCATTTTTCAAGGCCACAAAATCATTGGAATTTGAAAAGGTAGTATCAATGTTCTCTCCAGGGGTCTTTTAAAAAGCTTTTCTTGAAGAGCACATTGTTGGAGGGGGGTCGGGTCTGGTTTCAGAACTTTACTTTTTTTTTTTTATTAAAAGTGAGTAATTTAATTAATATTTGTTTTCTAGAAGTTAATAGCAAAAAACAAATTTTAAAAATGCTCCAATTTTCACAATCATTTTCTTTATCAGCGCATCAAAATACGTAAAAAAACCGTATTTCGTTAAAATTGGATGTCTTTATAAGTGAAAGTTTATTTTAACCAGTTTTTATGGTATTTCATGGTTTTTTACATGTTTATCACAAAATAACAGATTTTAGCAAATAATGATTAGAACATAAAATGTGTACTTTTGTCGGAGGTAACCGCTAATCGGAAGTACACCTGATTGCTGAAATAACCAATTACAACATTTTTTTGTATAAGTACACGTCTTGAGAGATGTGATTTTCGTGAAATCTAATTTAGAATGATTTTGCGCACGATTAATTGTCAGCCTATTTCACGTAGTCAGCGTCCCTTTTCTAATCTCTTTAAAGGCCGTTTCTTGGGGATAAGAAAGAAGGGTTCTTTCCAATATTACGAAGAAAAAACGGATTGATAATGTTAATTTTCTTTTAATGATTTATGCTCTTGCACAGTGTGCCAGGAAAATTTATTTTTGGCCAAAATTCATAATTTTCAAAAAATTTAAACTAGTCAAGTATGGCATTCACTGTTTTCGGGGACAACCATATCGGAATAATTATCTTAAGAATAACACCTGACTCTAAACCAAAGAGTTCAATTGACGTCTAATAGATGTCACTAATTGCTGATATAGTCGAAATCTTCCTTAATCAAAATATTTAATATTTCAAACACCGGAGGAAGATGACCTTTAAAGGTTAGTTCATAAAAATGGTCAAGACGTATTGGGAAGTAAAATTTTCCGCTCTTTCCTAATCAGGGGTCAAAAAAATTAAATATTGCAAAATGAAATGTTTGGCCTTGAGTTGAATTTTTGAAAATTAACATAGAATTTGTAATCAGCGATATCAAAAAACTCCCGAGTAACAAAATGTAGATGAATTCAATAACATTTTGGTATTTTGAAAAATAGTGACCGAAACTTTCAAATTTTCTTTCATATTTTTGCACTACTTCTTAAGAAAATGGATCCTCAATTTTGACTTTTTAAAATCTGTCATAAGATTAGCGAAAGCAGACTCTAAGTCTCCCTCATATGATAACAAGTTCAATAAAAATCTATTAATTTAAAAAAAAATTTGTCCTTTATATTAGATCCGTGATTTTTAATTTTTAAATTATCAATCAACGATTGGAAAATGCAAAGAAAAGAATTTATAAAAGAACAAGCGATATCATTTTCAAAGTAATACCCATAGCCTTGTCTTAGGTAAGGTGAAACTCCATACTATGCGCGTTAACAGTAAATTGTCATTTATGCAGTCAAATATAAAAAGGCGCAAGAAATTAAAAAATGAAATACATAGAAGAAGATAACAGAGTTTTAAATTTAATATTATTTTTTAAAAATAAGTTTTAAATTATTTAACATCGAGTATTATGAAATGTTATGAGGAAACGGCAGAGCTCATTAGAAGTAAAATATTCAAGTTTTGAAAATAATGTTCTATAAAAATGTGGAATTATCTATTTTTTAAAATAATTTTTTGTTTTAAGTTATATTTCTTAATGTGAATGTAAAGTTAGAAGAAGAAAAAAATGATATAATTCAAATATTATCACGTTTTTTAAATTTTTTTATATAACATAACAGTGAGATATTTAATTGTATATTTCATGTTTAATCATGTTCAAAGTATGAATGATATAATTCTTTTATTTTTACATTGTCTACTGTATCTAAATAGCAAAATAATGTTTTACTATAGTTCATAGATAAGTTGGTTTTTGACCAAAATTTGACGTTCCTGGTCCACTGTGTCTTGTTTGAAAATTTCGTTTGGTTGATTGTTGTTCAGAGGACCGTTTCGCATCACGGCATCAGCTTGGCCCGATTTGATTTGAAGGATATTTGAGAAAAGCTGCAGTTGTAAGTAATAGAGAAATTTTTTGATGGAATTTGATGCTTGGTCAAAAATTACATTACTAAACCGAGTTCATATACTTAAACTCCGGTTAGGAAAATTTGTGTAACTGGCTCTAAAGGTTTATATTGATGAGTTTTTCGGCATTCATATGGTGTTAACACCAAGATTATCTTGATTGAATTGATCCAAAAGAATGTTCATGAATATTAATGGTGACAGGACTTTTGTTATTTCGTTGTTATCACCGACTGAACGTTGAAAACAGCCTGCAGTGCACGATTATTTTGGTGAACAGTGTGAAAGTATTTTATTTCATTCCATCTGGGACAGGAAGGTGTGTGGCATAAGGAACAAGTCACAATTAAGATAAGTTATCAAGAAAAAAAATTTCTTAATATTTTTTTCGTAATAAATAAAAATGCATTAATGCTATTCCAATCATATAAGGCTCATTTTTTTGAAAATTTTGTATCTATGGTTTCCGAATATGATTTTTAAATTTCTTTATGTTAATTTTCCGCTTAGATATTTTGATGAAAGTCAATGTAAGTATCAATTGTATGTACTATAAACATCTCCCGTGAAAGTACAGTTCTTTTTTAACTAATAGGTAGGTTTTGTAAGACACTTTTGAAATCGTTTTATTTATAATGGATTTTTGAAATGGTACAGTTTTCCACTAAGTCGACTATTTCACCTAGACTAAAAAGTAACCCTATTGATATAGGGTTTACAGATGCAAATTAGCATAGCAAACTATACGTTATTATTATTATTTCAAGATGTATCTCAATTGTTATTCTCACGAAATCTTAATTAATTGAACACTTATTATAGTATTGTAGTGGTTCACCTCACGTCCGAAAATTCCATGAAAGTACCCCTTGAAAATTATGCAAGTTTTTCAATTTAATAATATTTTAACATTTCTATTATTATAAGAGTAAAATAATAAGTTGAATCGCAGAGGTACTTAGAACTTTTTTAGAATTAATTTCCGATTCAGAAAAAATTGTATCTTGAAAAACGACGCTGGTCTTGACAATTTTTTAAACAATTTTTGGAGGCAATTATCAAACTTGTGCCTTTTTCGATCAAATTGGAGTTTTTTATTAAAGAAGAGCTTTTTCCGAAACCGAAACCTAAAGGTGTCAATCATCAAATTATCTAGACAGATGCAGAACTTAGCTTCCTAAGTTTCACACTATCTATCGATAATTTGCTTTCGCGTGTTTATATCGTTATATTATAATTATTCTTTATTACTACAAACATTATTTTCAACTAGTAATAAGAAATGCATTAAATAGGAAAAAACTTATTTACTTTATACATGTAATAGTATATTAAGCAACAAGGGGTCAAAGACGCCACTGTTTACATTGACGTTTACGAACCGGGACGTGAACGAGAAATAGCAATCACTAACGTAAATCATGACTGCCTTCGATCCTGTGTTACTTACGATACTTTTTATTCCAAAGGCATGAAAGTGTCGATATCAGATAGCAGACGATAAGCAGTAAAAGTCATTCGAGGCCAAAGAAAAATAGATTTGAAAGGGAACGCAATGGTAAGAATAAGTAAGTGAAAGGTAGACATATGTTTTTATCCTTCTCTGACTCATTCTTAAGGTTGCGAGTACGATTGAGTCCCTGTTCAGGAAACTATTGTGCTTAGAGCTTTACTTGTTAGATTATGTGAAAATGTCAGCTTAAACATAATAGTCGAATGTTTTCAATCATATTATTGTATAATTTACAGTAATATCCTTTATTATATACTTACCGATTCGTATCGAATTTATATTGAGGTCTCCGCATCACTAATAGCCTGGGTAAAATATGAATAAAAACTCTTTTCACCCATGGTGCCATTTTATGAGTTTGTGGTGAGCGAAAATGAACGTTAAGTACCACTACAGTGACGCAGATGCTGAAACAGAAATATACAAAAAGCTATAGAATTTGTAAATAATTTTGTTTTTATTATGATATTAAATTACGCTTGTCTTATTTTATAAACAGAAGAAGTTTGTGCAGTAATTTAAAAAATGAGAATATATTTTTTAAATTTATTAATTTCTTGTTTAGATGATGTTTAAATATTAAAAATATAATAAACACTACAAGGAAATAAGACAAATTTACTAAAGGTGTCAGATACATATTTATGGTAGAAGAGGGCTTAAAAATTTACGTTACATTTGGAATCGTGCTCCTTATTTTATATGATATTACGGTGTCTCATAAATTATTTGAAGTTTTGCAGTAGATTCTTTGTGAAAGAAGCATATCATACCAAAATTCTCCAAAAAGATCCTTTTTCTACTTCAAGCAGAAAAGGAATCTTTGAATATCTTTACAAATACCGTCCAGGACCATTAGCACCTTTTCAAGTAGTAGGGCGATCATAATAATTCATTTCAAGTAGCATAGGAGAGAAATACTGGAACTATTCACTCTGCGAAATTCGAGGTAAACTAATCGCACTTATATCTTCTTTATTCTGATTCTTCCTTATTCTTAGATAAGTGTATTTTTGCTTCTTAATGTTTAATTTAAAAAAAACATGTCTAAAAATGAACGTTTTATTGTATTTTATTTTGACGTTTTCAAACTGCAAGAGAAGTGAATCACTTAAATTTTATAAAACTGTAAGTATCAAGTGAGATTTCATAGACTTGTTCCATTTATGAAAGAGTTCTGCTTAAAATTAATTCAAGATCCTTTAATGTATCTTTGTATAAAGTAGTATTTTTATTTTTAAGTAAAGGAGGAAGGGTTATTAAAGTTTAATAGAAGGATTATTCGAAGATGAAAAAACCATTGCATGAGTCTTTTTAGAATTAAGAGAAAGCATATTATCTTTAGACCACTCAACAACATAGTCAATATTAAACTGTATCTTTTTAAGCATATCCGAAAGTGTGTGCAGAGGGCCCGATAAGTAAATCTTAAAATCATCTACATATTTATGGAATTTACAATATTTAAGTCCTTCTCCAAAATCCAATACAAAAATAATAAAAAGTAAAGCAAAAAGAGCTGCGTCTTGAGGTCCACCACATTCTAGTCTGTTCCATTCCGAAAAATTTCCATTACTATCAATAACTTTATGAAATCTAGAATCAATGTAAATTTTAAGACATATGCACACATATACAGGGGCAGTGTCCGAGATAGTCCCGTGAGGGGAAGCAGCTTATCCCCACCATGCGGCACACCAAGTCGAAACTGAGTCCCGAGCAACCCTCGCAGCGGGGGCGCTTGGTCCCTCAAACCCTCATTAAGGAAAACTGTTAATGACTTTTCTATAAAAATATAAATTTGTTAAATAGTAACATTTTTAATTTTTCATTGACATATTTAAATTCCTTACTTTCTCACGATTTCATACATATGTTGTTTACCAAAAAAAAATTTAAAATTAAAAAATTAAGTTAAATGGTATATGCTTCAAATAATGCAATTATTGGGTCAAATAGCATTAAATTGATTTAGATAAAACCTAAGTGATATAGTAAATATTTATTTGATAATAGGTAAGGTTTTTGGTAGAGTTAACTTCATTCTATGTATCTGAAAAAAATAACAAATTTTTTTAATTTTAACTTTTTTTTGATAAACAACATATGTATGAAATCGTGAGAAAGTAAGGAATTTAAATATGTCAATGAAAAATTAAAAATGTTACTATTTAACAAATTTATATTTTTATAGAAAAGTCATTAACAGTTTTCCTTAATGAGGGTTTGAGGGACCAAGCGCCCCCGCTGCGAGGGTTGCTCGGGGACTCAGTTTCGACTTGGTGTGCCGCATGGTGGGGGAAGGCTACTTCCCCTCACGGGACTAACTTGGACATCGCCCATATACAGATACATTGAAGGCCCTTAGCTTACGAATTAATATTTCATGATTAACTAAGAGAAAAGCCTTCGAGAAATAAAAAACACAGAGCTTCATATCAGAATTGAGCACATAAAATCTTTTCAAGTGATTTTGACATAGCACAAATCATAGTAATCGGTCTAAAATAAGTCCGTGTTTTAGGATTGTTTATTTTAGGAATGGGTCAAATAATACTAGTCATCCATATATCAGGAAAAATACCCATTTGAAACGAATAATTATACATGTGTATGAGAACAAGAAAAATGACAGGAAGAGCCAATTTAATCATATTAATAGAAATAAAGTCTGACCCAACAGCATTAGTTTTAAAAATAACAAAGATTATTTCGTAAAAGGAGGCAAAATGTGGTCTTGGACAGACTTTAATCCAGTAGACGAATATAATTCCTCCAACGAAGTCGAAAAACAACGATTGTATACTTACCTCAAGAACATGCAACAGTACATCAACATTTTATGACTTTTGAATTCTGTAAAATTACTTAATTACTTAAAAACCATAAAAATACTGTAAAATACTTGTAAAATTTACAATTAGAAAAGAAATAAATCCACTGTCTTATAAAAAAATAAATAAAAAAAATATTTTACAAATTTAATCTTGTACTCGAAAGAAAAATGCGTCTCTCAAGTTTGATCGTTAATCGTTCTTTTCTTGACCATCTTTTCAATTCTTGCTTTTAACCTCCATAGACATTGGAAACTTTCCAAGAGTGAGTTTCTGCAAAAGCAAAGTCATTTTTCTTTCTTCAGACTTTCTGCGTTTGGCGATACATTTCTCAATGAAGTTGTATGCGAAGTTATCGTAAAGTTTCTCCCCAATTTTGTATTTTTCAAAGATGTATTGTAAACTGTTAGAATTCTCCGTAAGAAATAAATCAGTACCTTTCTACAGAAAAAAGGAATTTTTAGTTGTAAAACAGCTTTTCTCTGTTGAGGGAAATGTCATTTTTAACACCATCCCCTGGTACAAAATTTTTCATTTTTAATAATAGATATCTTTATTTACGATGATAATGATAAACATTAATAAAAATTATTTTATATTTGTTTAGCAATTTAACTATATAATATAAACCGAAATATTTCATAGGGAGGAATGGTTTTAGAGACAAAACTATCCCAGTGAATCTTCAATCTGACCACTGCGTCATGTTTTCAGTCACATGAATTTCGATCGCTTTTCTTAAATCTACTTTTCTTACCCCAAGCACGTAGTATCCAAAAATCTACGTGACCCTTTCGGCAATACATCTCACCTTTTTGTTTGTTCTTGTCAGAAGCTCTTTTTCAAACTTTATGTTTGTCTAAACAAGATCAATTATCAACTTATCCGAAATAATTTGATTATTAAGAGATAAAATATCTTTAATATTTTTAGCAAATTGAATCTAAAATCTCTCTAAAAATACCATTTTTAACCAAGTTTAAAAATTAAGACATCGAAATTATTATTTTAAAAATCAGGTGATTTTGCATAATTACTAATATTAAATTCTTTTATGCGTTTCAATTTTCCACATACTTAACTCATATTAACATTTACAACAAAGTTCTAATAATTTATGGTTTAAACAAAATTTCCTCTTATACGAGTGCGAATTTATAATTTATGGCACATAAGGTCATTAAATTATATAAAATTGTCAGAGTAAGTTTCACTGAGCTCTATACTTCGTAAAACAATATAGTCATATGAATGGTGATTAATTTTTAATGTAGGATACAATAGTGTGTGTATGACAGTATATAAATATTGTTTTAATGTGTAATTGTAACAAGTTAACATATTCTGGTTATAAAATTTAAAGCCATTTAAATTTTTTTGTAAATAAATTGAATTTATAAATTAGATATTAAAATATTAAAATACTATTTAAAGATTAAATTAAAAAAATTCCTTCTTTTAAAATGCAATTTAAAAATATTATTAGCTTGCATTGATTTTATTTTTATTTCCTTGTTTGATATTCAAGTTTACTATTTTCTAGAATAATGTTTCCAACATCAATGAAAAAATAGTTAGTTGTCTTTCAATTGATTTGAAAGTTAAATCGTGCTTAACTTGCAAATGCCTTGCTTCCAACTTGTATTTGTGGAGAAAAGAATCCTGCTGTCATTGAAAGAATCGGAAAAGTGAAAATAATTGTGTTAATTAGTCGATAGATTGTTTTCAATTCTAGAATAAATAATAATAAAGTTTTCAATAACAAAAAACACTATTTTATAGATTTAAAATTCTGAATATGTTTAATATATTTTAATTTTGTTTAACCCTTTAACGTCAAAATGTGGAAACAATTTTGTAATGAAGTTTGAAACCTTTTTTTAGGTACCTAGAAACCAGTAGAAAAATTCTACTATAATTTTTTATAAAAAAAATCGCCGATTACAAATCTGAGGTCCCATTTTCAAAATTCAAAATGGCGGATCCAATATGGCAGATGAATTTTTAAAAACTCATTGGATTTAATTGAAACTCGATAATTTCATTCTTTATCCATTAAAATATGTAAAAGATTTCCAATGTTGTCTATTATGTTGGTTATGTTTTTAATTTAACCTTCGAAGAACACACCTCTTTTTTAGATCATTTTTCAAAGCTCAACTAAATTTGAATTGTTCATCTGATCCAACTGAAGAATTTTTTTTAAATATAGTTTAAACTCTGTAAAATAAGTCTTACTCGAAAATCCTTATAAAAATATTAAACAATAGATAAGAAGCTTCTCGTAAAAAATCGTGGTATCAAAATGATCCCATGTGTTCTCCTAGGGTTAAGAAGAATGAAATGTCTAGATTAAAGAAAACCATATCTCTGGTTGTTACTTTTTTGAAAATATTTAATTGTAATATAAGGAGATTTGCTTTTTCCTGAACTGCTATCTCTGGAGATAAAATAAAGATAAAGTTTTAGAGTCGTTTACGATTTAAAAAATATATTCTTACCAAACCTGTTCAATTTAGCATAAAGATGCGGGCATTATGCGGTTCTGACGGATTCTTATTTGAATACGACAT